TACTATTATTATTATTATTATACCCTGACTTGAAATTGAAAATGATCATTCAACTCATATGCTTGCAGCTTTTTTATATGTATTTCTTCTTTGAAAGTTGGAATGTCTGTCTGTTAGGCAGTTGGCGTAATAACGTTACGTTAATCGATCCGTCCCCTTAGTTTTTCTTTTATTTAATATTTTTTCATTATTGATAGCTGTTTGTAAGCCTATCAGTGTCGTCGTTTGCATCAAAAGGAACAGAAAGGTCACTGTCTCCATTGAAATTTTTCCATTGCAAAAAATTAACTTATCGTTTTTAAAAGACAAGAAGAAAAAAGAAAACATACACAATGACAATATAGCTACCGTCGGAAAATTAATACGCGTAAGTACGTACTCGTCGTCGCATCACAACTTACGGCCTTTCTGCGTCCGTTCACTCGATACGCGTTATTTATTTTGTCACCTTACAAATAAGTAATTCTCGTGCGTAGAAAGAGTAAGAGAGAGAGAAAAGGTACCTAGAAATTTGTCAATTTGTTTAATAAATCGTTATTTACAATATTTTACAAAGAAAGCTGCTGTTTTCCTCTTCATCGTTCTTTTCTTTCCTCTTTTCACTTCGTTTATATTTTTATTTTGTACAAAATCACAAACGGACATTTTGCTCGAGTTACTATCGACAGCGTATCAATTTTCGTTTATATAACACCTACATTAACAAAATATTATACATTGTACAAGGGTGTGCAGCTCGATATCGTTACTTTCAGTCTCTTCCGACGGCTTTTTTCTTCCCCTTTTCCTTAGAAATTGCACATAAATTAGAAATAATATATATTTAAATAACTCGTATTGTAATTTATTAGGAGACTAAAAAAAGCTTACAACAGTAAATTATAGAGTAGAAATTAAAAAAAGTATAAACAGGTGAGAAAATCACGAACAAAAAGAAAAATTTCAAGGAGAACAACCATTTTCCGATTAACGGGTCAATCGTCATCATATCTGTGAGCAGTCGTCGAAATTATATATAATACAACAAAATTGCAATTCGCGAGTGAATGTGTGATGGAACGAGAGGGGCATTTTATATACGGTGAGGGAGGGGGGGGGCTAATTTACACGCGCATTGTGCGGGTTTGATTTGCTGATTTAAAATTAAAAAAAAATCTTTTTATCATTTATACAATGTACAATTGAGTTTATTTAACATTGAGGTTTGGGCAGCTTTATCGAAACGCAACTCATACTTTATAAATTTAAGTAATTAGTAATTATTATAATACACAATATTCACAGAGTCCGTTAAAAAAAAGAAGCTAGGGGTTTTCTTATAATTTTTTTCGCGGAAAATAAAATTACCGCTATTTTTGTGGCTCTTCGCGTTTGTTGCCGAAGGGGTCACATCGTTTCTATACACATTTTATTATTTATATCACAATTTACAAAATTTTTATGGTTTTTAATAGGATAAAATTAATCGAAATATATTTATACGGCAGGGACATTGCGCATGTAAAAAATACTTACCTGCGGTTTTCACTCAAGCGCGTATAAAATCAAAGAGGATTTATTTTCTAAATTTTTAAAAATCTTATCATTTGTCCCGCCTACCAGTTACAGTTTTTTTTTTTTTCATACTACTTCTGCCAAGTTTTATAATTGTTTTCAATCGACCTGTCTGTTAAGCACGATCTTAAAGCGTGTGCCACGGCTATGTAGTACGCTGTGACACTTTGTATGCAGCTTTTGGGAAACACATGCAAATGTTGTCAAAAATCAAAAATTCTTGCACTTCAGAACTTTATCCCTGAGTGTATGCGTGCACATTATTCGTGTAGCGCAATCGTATCATTGGAAATTAATAAAAATCATTTCGCTAGTTACCACCTATTTCAACAAACGCATTTCCTTGAGACAAATTTTTAGTCAGATTGGGGCTGCACTCAATTTTGCTCCCATGTCAAAGTGAATTATTATACAAAGTTACCAAATACGATTAACTTTTTTTTTTTTCATCAACCCTGATGAAAAAGAACTAAAGAATTTTTTGTACCAATTTAAAAAATGTTAAACATAAATTAAAATTCAATAAGATAACAAAAAGTAATATTTCTAAGCATTGATGTCAACCAAGAGATTAAAGGTAAAAATAAATGGTATGACGATTGTTAATGGTATTTGGTACCTTTGGCCTGACCAAATTTCATCTACTCGCGGAAACTGTGCGCGAAATGTCTGCTACCGCTAACTTTGGCAGATTATTTCACGCACAAAACGTACATCATTAGTCGATCATCATAACGATAAATGCATGCAGCACTATGATATAATCTAGTTGTTAAATATCTTTTGCATTTTGTCAATCCTTACTTTCAATTGATACTTTAGGACTTGGCTTCTCCCTATACTGATTTGAAAAAAAAATTTTTTCAATCATATTTGATGTTGTCTTGATTACTCAATATTCACGAAAAATTTAATATGCAAGTCGCTTTGCGACCTCAATTCAAACATATTTTAACTATCAGATAATCTGCAAACTTTTTTTCAAACATCTTAATCAAGATCTAGCCCAATCAACAATCTTACGTATCTGAAAGCATTGCAAACTATTTCTTTAATAACATACTTTAGCGCTCATTAGAGAACTGGGCTCTTTCCACGACATTATCAAACCATGACTACATACTGTTTAACTATAGCCTCAAATTTTGCGCCGATACCCTCAATATACGACACTAATGTCTTTTACAAAATCAAATTCAAAGAAAGAAAGAGAAAGAGAGAGAAAAAAAACATCTTCATGGAATATCATCTGCATTTCTAATACGCTTGAGTTCTTGCAAAAATTTTTCTAATTCGAGGCATCAGCGGCAAAGTAATCGTATTGGATAATCGCGTTAATGATAGATCTTGTTTCGCAGTTGAAACGATCGAATTGGTGGTCGTTGTGTGTTTTTCTTTTATAAAACCTGAGCCGATTGTTGAGACGAAGTCGTGGAGCCAGCCGTGGACGCTGGCGGTCCGATGGGACCGAGGTCACCGGCGTTGTTAGATCCACTCGAGGACGAGGATCCGATGGCGTTAGCAGTCTTCATAAAGAATTTTTCCAACTTGACGATTATGTGCTTGCCGTAAGTGTACTTGCGAAGCCCGGCCAGATGCGGTCGAATCTTGTGCATCAGTATCTTACGTTGAGCCGGCTCCGCGACGTCTATCATCTTTTGCACGACGTAATTCGCGTATTGGTCTTTCATCATGACATTCAATGCACTACGGAAAAACCGAATAGTATGACGTTAGCCAACAATGAGTACTAGTTTTACACGAGATATACACTCGAAAATATTTACCTGTCGTTAAAACCACAAACTTCCTCGATGAGGACAGTTCGTTCTTGTCTGGTGGCGTGAGTTACGCATTTTTCGACGACGTTACTGGCAAACTTGTGCTGCGAGAGGGCCAAGACCTTACCGCGAACGCTGTTAATTAGCTGGGCCTTGTCCTCTGGTTTGCCGTGCTCTAAAAACACCGAACCCCATGACACAAATCATGACGATTTATCGAAAATGACGACGACGATGATGATAAAAGTAATAAATAGTATCACGTACCAAGTACGTGTTGAATAACGTAGTTGCCGTATTGGTCTTGTATGAGTTGATCGGTGGCCGCGTGTAGTTCCTGGAGAATGCCCTGCGTCTGTTCCGGGGTGCAGTGCTCAAGAATGCGCTGGATGACCCGACAGCCATACGGGTGCGTACTGAGCGAGTGTACCTGGCCGGCGAAGGCACCAATGACGAATTGCAAAGCTCGCGGCTCGACGCACTCTATGCACTTTTGCACCACGTGATTGCCATTCTGGTCCTTCACGCACTTGAGCACGTGACCGTCGAGCTCGCGCACGATCTCCTGCTGTTGTTCCGGCCCGATGGACTCCAGGGCCTTTTGAATGACTCGGCAGCCGTACATTTGCAAGGCGAGCGGTAAAACGTGTCCACGCACCTTGAATTATTTACCAATTTATACGATTTATTTATCATCACAACAATCCGAATGGGCTTTTTTTTGTTTGTTTAGCACTGCTATTGTTTACTGTATACACGGGTCTATTGTTACTATGGCTCTTCAGAATGCAGTCAAATAAATCATCTCTTTTGTCAGCTGACACGCATTTTTCATCATAAAACGTCAAAGGGGAGAGAAACGAAAATTTAATTGGTATTTTACGAAGAAAAAAAAAACCGTACATAGGGTCACCGAGCAATTTTGCAAACTAACGTTGGATGAAAGGAAAAGAAAGAAATAAAATACAATACCTTCTGGGCCAGAGTGGATTTCTGCTCGGGCGTGCCGAACTCGAAGAACTTTTGTATGACGTAGTTGCCGAAAACGTCGGTCATGAGTGAATACGCGGAGGCGAGAATCTCCTGGAACACTAGTTGTTTTTCACTGGCCGTCGCCCTCTCGAGTTTCTGCTGAATGAACCGCGAGCCGTGCTGGTCTTGGCTGAACTCCACTATGTGATTGGCCAAGTCGCGAAGCTGAAGGCTTGGGAATCTGCAACAAAATCCAAAGAGTCGACATTTGTCCAGGAAGGTAAGTAAAGAAAAAAAAAAAGAAAAGAAAAAAAGCGAATGGTTTCAGCCTCACCTGTTGTTTCTAAAATCCTCCAGCAATCGGGACCTGCCCCCAGTGTTCTTGTCGCTGCCAACACCAGCAGCGCCGGCTCGTCCCGGCTTACCAACGAGATTTGGAAACAGCGAGCTACTCGAGCCAAAGACGCCGTTGGTCGTGAGGGCTGGAACTCCGCTGGCGCGGAACTTGGCTTCGGCACCTGGGGCTGCGGAGACGCGGTTGGCCCCACCCACCAAACCACCGAGGGAGCCACCGATCGAGGGTGGCGGTGTCAGTGACAAGCCGAGGGGACTAGGCGAGGCCGTCACCGTGCCTGCGTTCGAATATTCTAATTCATTACGTTTCGTTAAAAATTGTCTTTCTTTTTTTTCCTTGGAGTGCTTATCGACTACGCGTGGTCGTGTATGATATATATATATAGGGGAGGGGATACGATTATTTATTGGTTGACCGTGAAAATCTGTTTTTCCTTGAGTGAGAGACGAGATTTTTTTTTTTGTTTTTTTCAAGTAATTCCATCGGAGGAAAAAAAGATTTCTCGACGATCGAGGTAATGGCAGAACGAACGAGCATTGATTTTTTTACATGCATTTTTTATTTTATTGGTTGAATCGATGTGCCTCGGTGGCGAGAGACCTTTACGAGCAATTTAAAAAAAAAAATTTATACTTATCGATCATTGAAGAACGAGAAGTAAGAATCAATTTTGTTGTTGAGCTATTACCTCTGATTATGGATACAGTGTTGAATTATTTACACTTCAGAGAATATGTCAAATAAATGGATTTGTGGTTTTCAAAATTATTATCAATATTGAAAAAAAAAAAAAAAAAAAAAAAAAAACGGTTTCTACCCTCTACGTGACATATTAATATACACTTGTACGAGTACGAGTATAAATGTATTTCATATGTGCTATAATATTAATTATGTATACATTATATAATTATTATATTGTGTGCTTAAGTAAAATAAGTTGTGTTAGTTACAACACTAGGGTACTCGAATGTAATTTTATGAGAAATAAAATAAAAATAAAAAAAAAGTTCGAGATACAAGTAGGTTGTTAAAGAAAAGCAAATATCGAAAAATGTTTAAAAATGAAAAAAAGTTTGAAAATGACGTTGTACCCCAGTATGCCGTGTGTGAGAGATGAGTGTTTTTATGATACAATAGAAAAATACAAGTAAGTATGCATGAACAGAAAAATATAAAACGTATAATTACACAGAAAAGAATCGCTCAATGTCGGACAATGGTCTAATATGTATACATATATGAAGGTTACCAAGGCAAGGCGCAAGATTGAAATTTTTTTCGCACTGGATCGATAATTTTCAAGCCCCATGTATCGTCCCAATTTTTTTTTCCAGTAACATTTTCATGGAATGGATAAATATTAGGTCCGAAATCAGGCAGATTGCAATTCTCAATATTAAAAACAAGATGTACACGCAGATGGTGGTTAAAAAAAAAAAATAAGAATGAAAAAGCCTTATTAGACAAATTTACATGTAAGTACAATGTACAGTTAAATAGGTATTGAAAAAAAAAGAAAAAAAAATAGAAATCAATGTAATGAACAATCCATTTGTTTAACACTTCTGTTGTGGTTCTGTCACACATGTCTCTGCGTAAAGAATATAGATAAAAGGTTTCATGCCCTCACCAAGAGCGCCGTAGTTCTGCGGCCACTTCCCTCGGTTGTATTCTAAGCTGGGACTAAATGCCGAGGTATTTCTATCGAAGGAATCCCTTCTACCAGTAGACGATGCTCCGAGACCCAAACCTATTGCACGATAGTTTTTTTTTTTATGAAACTTTGTTTTTTTTTGTTTTCCATTTTATTTATTTTCTTGGCATTTGAGAGCTTTTTGTAATTCGAGCTTGCGACGATACGTAACGAAATAAAATAAAAACAAGAATACGGAGTGGTGTGCAAAACATTAGTGACTGAATAAATAAATAAATACACACTACAAGTACACAATATTGGTAAAAAATTAAAAAAAAAAAGCTACGAGGTATTGAAAACATAAAAATAAATTTTCGGCACGATGTGTATTTTTCTTCTTTTTTTTCAGAGTACACGGACGTGTTAATATCATATGTCGGGTTATCTTTACAATACTGGTACAATATACATATTTATATATGTGACATATCGTGGGTAAGACCGTCAAAAGACTATGTTCCATACTAGATTGTTACAGTTTAACATATTTACAAAAAGCCTGGATGACTGATGTCTCATATAATTATTTGCTGCTTTGAAAGAAAAAAAAAAAAAAAAAAATCAGCAATTGTTGGTATTAGGCACAAATAAACACACACGAAAAAAAAAGAAAACAGGCGCTCGAAAGATTTTAACATCAAGGACAGCGCTTGTTCGGTATATTCCGAGTCACCCTCTCGACTCCCCGATTCCCGATGTATACAACCCAAGATTAAAAGATTAATAGCCTCACCCTCTTGTTACACACACACACACACACATGCTACATGTTAAAATGAACTTTTCTCCGGTCCCCCATTTGTACATATTTATACACGTGCATGCAAACTATGGATTTTCAAGAGGCATGAATAGGTATAATATATGTGTTAACACGTAAGTAGTCGCGTTGACGGAAAATCGGTCAAGTAAAATCCGCGTAAACGCGAAGACCTCAAGCAGCCTCGTATACACATCACGAGGAACGGGACGATGAGTAAAAAAAAAAAAAAAAATTGTGAAGCACACAGAGCAGAGCATAAGTACAAGTTTGCAGAGAGTTGTACAGAGAGCTTTTTTGTTGGCAGAGACGGATCGGTGGTAAGAGTTTGTGAGCGAGCGCGTATGTATATATGCTTAGTGTATGTATGTCAAATGAGAATCGAGGATGAGAATAAAAGGACAGCCAAACAGTACAGTAAGTAGTGTGTATAGTTGTAAAAGAGCAATATATATATGTATATATATGGAGAGAGAGAGAGAGAGAGAGAGAGAGTTGAGTTGCATTGATCGGCTGGTGGATGTAGTAGTGGACAATGTACCTGTGCTCTGTAGTTGGGCCGGAGAGCCGAGGGCTCCTAGGGGCGAGCCACCGTAGCCCAGGGCCGCTAGACCAGCGGCGAGTCCCGAGCCCTGCTGTTGGGCCTGCTGAACGGCGACCGCCTGGGCCTGGGCGACCACGGCAGCCGCACTGCACGCCGCAAGACCTGCACCACAAGAAACCGAGCGCGCGCGGCCGCACCAAGCGAACACCCAATCACCCCCTTTTTTATTATCTCTATTTTTTTTTTGTTTTTGTTTCAGATGATGGTTAGATGAGTGTTTATGTGTGTCCGCGATGGGTCGTTCGCGCGTCTGACCATTATATATACGACTGCCGCGTCACGAGCATCAATTCTCTCTGCTCCAGCTGACACACATTTCGTACACGTAAGACGTGCGTAAGTGCACATAGCCGCATTCTTCGACGTCGCACGGAGGACAGTTTAAATTCTGATTGATGGACACAAGTATTGGTTAGGTACTATATAGTACGCTTGTTGAGCTCTGTCGATTGTATATGCGAGGCCCACGGGCACGCGGTAGGGTGCAGGGTGCACCAAACTCGGGTTTAAGATGTTATTCATTTATGGTAGGTATGTACAAAATTTTATACAGTAGACATACATGCAAGTACACTTGTAACAATTCGACTGTGGGATCTAAGCTATGTATAGTTTATCTGTGGTTAAATAGTGTAAACTGATGTGTGAAATAATGATCGTGGTTCATTGGCTGATTGAATGTATATTTTCTTTGGTGATGGAGGATGATCAGTTTGAGCGATTAGCCAGGCCGCGTAAATTAATGACACGTGTTTTTTTTTTTTTTTTTTTCTGTTCCGCGCTTCTGCGTCGATTTCGGTTGTTCCAATCGTAAGTGCAGGTGAAAGCCGACAATTAAAACAATGGGTGCATGCACGCACCTATTGTTATTTCACTATAAACGGATACAGATTCTAGATACGTGAGCATCCAATATTCCCGTAGTTGTGTGGTTATAAACAAATTGTCTGCCCTTCGCACCGGTGACAGGAACATCCGTTCTCGCTGCGTGCCAGTGATGCAGGGTTAACATATTATTTAAATATATATGAGAAGCAGCGATGATGATTAATTTGTGTTATGCGGTATTATCATAAAAAATATCGTTGCCGGGACACAGAGAGAAGATGATGGAGAACGACGATGAGGATGAGAATATATTGTATGGCCGATGACGGTGACGTATATACAACTCATAACGTGTGCGTATGGGAATGCGTGTAATTATACATGGGTATTGACTAGACAATGGGTCAAAGGTACTCACCCAAACACTCGCCGGGCGTGGCGTTGCTGTGGGACGTCGGGGTGGCCTGGCTGTAGAGACTTGGCGGTGGCGGTGCCTGCGGTCCCGGGGGTGGCTGCGAGGGCGCGCGGTTCACGATCACCTGGGCCGGACTGACCAGTCGCATCGGCGTCGCCGCCGAGCCCAAGCCTCGCATGCCGCCCATCACGATCGAGCCGTTCTGATCGTAGTACGCTGGTATGACTTGATACTGGCCTTGAACCTGCACCCACGGCACGTCATCGTATATGGGTAATGCATTTACAATAGGCTCGAGAGCATAATAAACGTGGGGTCTCGGGTGACGGATCGATTTTTATTAAATGATGTAAAACCACGACGGACGACCTACCAATGCGTGCGCGTTTGCTCGAGGAATGATAATTAAAAATAATCACGATAAGGACGGCTCTTACGTGCCTTGACCTCGCGCTCCAACTCTATCGGCACCACCAGACGACGCTTCATCCCGTTAGTTAGGAACACTAATAGGTACTAATTAGTACGTTATTTTTTTACACATATATGTGTATATGTACGTCGAATGGAAACGTTTTAAAGGGATTAAGCGCTCGTCGTCCATTAGGGGTATAATGGAATAATGCAGTATACGTATACGTAATTGTACTTGTGACAATCGTGCAATAAGTGGACAACAACAGACTTTTGCGGCAAGACGTTAAAATTGTTATCAACCGTAGCTCGGTAATTTTCCCGATAATCGCGGGGATACGCAACTCGGGGAATTTTTAAAAAAAATCACCATGTAGAAAGAGAGAAAAAGAAAAAAAAAAAAGGGATGCGGTTCGATAGTCATATCCGAGTACACAATGTTTTGCTCGCTAGCAATTTAAAAGAAAAACTCGGCGAGCAAGGGGGCAAGTGTACCCCGTGCATGCGTATGTAATGCAGGTAAAAAAAAAATACACAGTTAGCTAGGAAAAAAATGACTAGTTTCATTGATCCAATTACGCGCTTCGGTTNAAAAAAAAAAAAAAAAAAAAAAAAAAAAAAATGAAAAGCCTTGTTACCGTCTGGGCGAGGTTGTTGGCGGTGTCCTGGGCGACGGCCACCGAGGTGGGGGTGAGCGGGCGCCTGGGCGGTGGCGCGGCGGCCTGAGCCTGGGGCAGAAGCCCGGCCGGGTAGACCCAGGGCCCGGCATAGTAGGGGGGCACGACGGGCGGTACCTGGCCGGTGACGAGGCCGATGTACGGCTCCTGGCCGCCTATCACCGTGTACGGCGCCGCCGAGAAGTTCTGCTGCTGTTGGGCCGCCTGTTGTTGCTGCTGTTGGGCTTGGCTCGCCAAGTACTGTTGTTGCTGCTGTTGCTGCTGCTGCTGCTGCTGCTGGAGCAACTGGAGCTGCTGGGGCGTCGCTCCTTGGGCTTGGCTGCGAAACAATTGCTGCAATCCAAAGGAAAAAAAAAAATTATTGTTTTATTTTACTTTTTTTTCTTTTCTTCTTTTTTTTTTTTCTTTCGCATCGCGTATCCGTTCTTGTTTTTCGGTCTCGTGATTTCAGCGACTCGGGCGGCTCGGGGAAGCCCTAGAGGAGGAAACGCAAGGGCGGAAAATAGGGGGAGGATCGGAGGGAATCACGCTAAATGCGACGACGTCTAATTGCCGGAGCAGAACCGCTGCTTTCCCCCCCTTCCCTATCTCCCGGAGGCTTCCTCGTCTTTGCGGAACAACAGCTATCTGGGGCGCGCTGTCCCTCCCTTTTTTACCGTCGATTAGCGATTAGGTGGCAGGGGTGGGGGGAGGGGGGACGTTGAAACCAAACCACAGTCGCACTAAAAAATGGAAACTTGTTTGCGCAGCGGGTAGGGAGAGCTTCTCGAATTTGCAAGTAAAAATTTTCCCCGAGGGAGCCGGAAAAAAAGAAAGAAAAAGAAAACTCGGTCGCGAGCCAGTGACTCGATTGAATCAAAAGTACAGAGATACGTACATAGAGGGAATCTATGTAGATACGTAACAAGCGAACTGCAGGAGCAACAAAAAAAAACACCATTTCCTAATATTTTATTGGGCAATTTATACATCGGGTAGCCACTGAGAGAGAAATAAATTCCAGAGCGCCGGTCGACGGGTGGTCAGACGGCGGTGGAGGTGAGGATTAAAATCACGTTTGGGTTACGTAAAATCGTTCCACACGCACACACGTACAGCGAGAAGCAGTTGAGGAATCCTTATCGGGGAGTAGAGATCGAGGACTTGAGAGAGAGAGAGAGAAAAAGCTAGAGTATATATACCTATGAGAAAGGAGAAGAATCGCGAAGGAAGAGAGACGAGCGTGTGTGTGTAAGCGAGCAATGGCCGAGGAGCAGAGTCGAGGTTAAGCGCGCGCTCGAGGCAGCGAGGGAAGGTCAACGAACTCCTCGCGGACGTTCACCGAGGCAACAACTACTCCCCTGCGCGACCGGGAGGAACGACGACGAGGAAGCGGCACCCGCGAGTCTGTCTCTCCTCTCCTTTGCTCTGGTATTGAATACGTTTGGTGTATGTATACGTACACGCGCAACGAGACACGTGCTCGCGCTTACCCTACCCCTACCTCGAGCAAGGACCACTGCTAATGCCAAGATGTCATTTGTTTGAGGCCCACTTCAAGTATTGGGACTTATTAGAAAGAAATAAAATTTAAAAATAGCTCGTCCTTTAAAGGACTAGTTTTCTCTGATGTTATGTATAAGCATACCAATATCCGATACCTATCGAAACACACGAAAAGGAGAGAGTAAAAGATCGGTGGCTAAACGTATACCGATTTCCGGAACTCATTGCTGATGGTTTTCAATGCCGGTCTATTTATTTTCTTAACCATCGGAGTTTTCTCATACACATTCACCTATAGGTATATAATATTATACGATCATCTCGTGATGACGCAGAACGTATGGAAGAAAGAGAGAAAAGCAGTGAGAGTCAATTATGTTGTACGTTAATTAGTCAAACGTGAATTTGTGGGGATGGGTGTGTATCTGTGCTGTATAAGGGTATACACACCCGATGACAGGCGTATACCAGGGCGTCGGACTAATTTAAATCTAGTCGTACTATGGTCGCTATTAGTCCCGAGCTACACAGAGCGAGATTGAGATTGAGATTTGAATTTCCTCTATTATGCGCGAGACAGATAGAGCAGCTATATATATGTATACACATATAGAGGTACGGAAGGAGCGCTGACCTTGAATCTATACGCTATTAGCGAGCGCGCGCGCCTGCCTCGCGTCTGATGGTTGTGCGATGTATTATCATACAAGTAAATGAGTATATCGTACGTAAAATTGTAAGAGTATGGCTACCTGGTGTGCCTATATTAATAGAGAGAGGAATTGTGTAACCTCGCAAAGTTACCACTAGTCTCTCGTCGAACGCGAAGAAATAAGGAGGAGGAGGAGGAAAGAGATGTGTATATAATATCATCCCTGCAGCCTTCCTCCGTCTTCTTGTACATTATACATGTATACACACCGGGAGGAGGAGGAGGAGGTGGCAGTTCCCTCTTATATACACACGATACAGGGAGAAGAAGAAAAAAAAGTGCGAAGAAAAGAGTTGGGGGGAAGGAGTCGGAGCGAGACACGCTCTCTCGGGCGCAGCGATGCGTTTCGGTTATCAACCTCTCTCTCCGCGAACCCATATACATATACGTATTGTACACGTAAATGTATGTGCCTACATCATATGATTACGTTAGTTATGTATATATGGGCGCTAAAAAAATCCGGTTCCACCGACAAGACCGGAATGGTGGAGAGGTTCTCTATGCGGGTCTCGACGCGGTGACGAGACGTGGAGTCGATGGACCCTGTATTACGTATCATACGCCTATACTCGCTTTGGGTTTTAACCCAGAGGAAACAGTGTGTATATAATATAAATATATACACCTATGGTAATCTTATGATCAGATGACGCAACATCGTGGAGCTTCTGTTGAATCTGTTGATTCGACAATCTTTCTTGGACGCTTTCGCGCTCGTATACTACGCGTGTGCAAGTGTAAAATACTGTACCATAATCATAATATTCCTTACAGCTATTGAGTCACCGCGGAGAGTGTATGTATATAATACGCGAGTGTGTCGGACGTTGCACTCGTCCTCGTTTTGCACGTGTAAGTATACATACGTATATATATTTACGTACAAGTGAAGGGGTCAGGGTGACGTTGAAATTGGTTTTACCCTAAATTCCGTCCGAATATTTGCATTTCTGAGGAGCCACGTACATGTACGTACAAAAAATAATTTGTGTATCGATTATGCTTGGATTACCCATTCTATTTTTTACAACCTGTATACCCGTATACCTTGCCCCTATGGAACACACACTGTACAGTGATATCGTACAGAGGTATGTTTCAAGGACTGATTTCGTAAGAAAAAAAAAAAAAAAAAAAAAAAAAACAAACCGAATAGGGCATTTTTGATGAAACGCTCGCGCACTCGTTCAACTTTTTTGAAGCTAATATAAGAAATTTTACGAATATGTTACCCAGTAATACAGTGGATGCGTAGGTATAGGGTATCATATCGCGATCGGTGTTAATTTTTATTGCAAAAGCTCGCCCCCCCTTTGACATTGACCTCTAGAGTCCGCAGGAACGAAGGTTTCACTCGCCCTCGAAATTCACCAAGCGACGATGGCTCGTTCACCACCAACGGGCCTATGTACCATGAATTCGCATAGAACCCCTGTCGGCAAGGTGGAATCAGTGCGGAAACAACGAGCGTACATAGCCCGAAGGAAGAAGGTATATGATAAGTGTGGTACAGGACAAGTGCGTATCTTTCTTTTTTTCTTTTCTTTTTTTTTTTACGCTCGAAAGAGGGAGTATATAAATATACATATACGTACAGGGGTCGCGGGTGCTCTTTTATTTATTTTTCTTTGCCTCTTGAAGAAAAAAAATGAATAATTCATGACATCGTCGCCGTTGGCAAACACATCGACGCCGTCGCAACACGTGTAGGTATGTCATCGTCGTCGTACTGGATTTTCGTGGAAAAATGAGAAAGAGCAGGAGGGGAAAAAAAAAAGTAAGTACAAGAGCATTTCGATATATTATAGGGTACCGTTAAAAAGACTAGCATCCTCTCCCTCTTCGGTAAATCTAACTGGACTCGAATTAGCACGTATACCCAGATGTACATATACGCGGGGCAGGATGCGCCACAGATTTTACACTCCTCGTGTCTCGCTTTCGTGCTCACGTATATATACAAAATACTGTCGCACAAAGTGACACCATCCTCGCGTCCCCCCCCCCTCCCCTATGCTCCAGCAGTTTTTCAGATGAAGATAAAAAAATTCCGACTGTTGCTGCACCAACTCCGGGCGACGCGCCGAGTGTAATTGGGCACGACGACGACGTTGGCGAGCCGAGTAATTATTGTTATTTTTTTTTCTCCTCACCTACACCTACATACCTATATACATTGTATACCAGCCGTACTCTCTCTTTTTTCTTCTTCTTCTTATAATACTTGTGTTACTCCTATAGCGAGAGCTGGGGCACTTGTGTACATCCTAGCGCGCGCGTAAATTGTGGCCTCGCTTGCTGGAATTTCCCTCTGATGGTTTCAAATTTGTCGGGAGCAACGCGAGATGCCATGTATATAACACATACACATCGCTTTTCGAGACAATAACGAGACGATGAATGTAGGCAGCCTCGTTGGCCCCCGTGAGAATTACGCGTGGAGAAATTTTTTTCATCGTCGAGCTCGCTCTCTCTCTCTCTCTCTCTGTTCTGCCAAGATTTTCCGAGGGAAAAAATAATGTGTGCGCTCTTTACTGTCGGGAAAGTCGCTTCCTTTGCCGTGACAGTTTCCGCGGAAACCCTTCACCTCCCTCCCCTATTTATTACACGGGCGAAAAAGCGATGTCCGATCGATTGGACGAAAACCATGTCTTCCTTCCTTACTCTCCCCCACTTGTACTTGCACTTCCGAGTGCAAAAATTTTCCAAAGCCGCTCGCTTGGTTGGCAAGTCTGTCACAAGTTCGAAAAACCTCAGGCAGCGCGACAGTTATACGATTGGGTATTATGAAATTCACGTAATTCCCGGGCGACGACTGGCATTATAACAGATTTTACTTGTACAGTGACAGCGGTTAACTCTTATTCGTCACGGCTCATGGCAACAGAATTTAAGTATTACGCGATGTGCAGGCGAGCGAAAGGAGCGAGAGAGGAGGCGAAGCACGACGCGACCAGACGATCGGGCGCATCCTGATACCTGCTGTACCTGTACAGGGTTGGTATATATACAACACCATCCAATCCGTTACTTAACCGCGGCCGGGCACCGTTATCTCACCTGGGCCTCCATGTATATAGATACACACCGTACAAGTGGGGTATACCGCGCTGCACGTACATATTTTATCATA